TCTTCCATTAACTCACTCAATCTTTAAAGCTTCCCTAGGAAATTATTATCTACTTTTCAAAGATCATTAACTGAGTTTAGAGACGTTAACTAAGTAACTTGTTCAGGAGAACATCACAGTAAGTGGGAAAGCTGAGATTTGAACCTGGGACTTTCTAATGCCAAAGACCAGGCTCCTGAGCCGGGGCTGTGAGGGGCCTGGAGGCTGAGCTGAAGGACTGCCAAGGGGAAGGCGGGGCAGAGTAACCGAAGAGGCATTTCTCTGTTATAATCAGGAAAGGGTGGGGGGCATCCTCTGCTCTTTGACCTGATCCTGCTAACCTGGGTGGAGCCCTGGAGACCAGGATGATGGCCAACTTACTCGTCCCCATCCTTTCTCCTTCCCTGGAAAGTGGAGACGCTGCATGTTACCCACCAGCCATCAGGCAGATAACCTGTGTCCCCTGGAGAGGCTCACGAAAGACGTACCTGAGAGATACCTGAGTGTGTGTGTGTGTGTGTGTGTGTGTTGGGAAGACAGGGCTCTTCTGTTCTGAGGCTCACAGATGTGGTCCGTTAATAATGAGCTCGGCTGTGGCTTGTAAATTTATTAGGAGAACCTGGTGTAATTAAAATTCCGGGTTAGCAGGAGGGGGAGCAGAGAGACTTTGTTTTCTTTCCTTCTTTCAGAGATCCAGGCCAAAGTACCGATGGGGATAATTAGCAGAGTCCAAACAGAAAAGGAATTAATGCTCCTGGAAAAGCTGTGATGGGGAGAGACAATGCTGGGCTAATTACGGCCGCACCAAGCTTTGTGACAGGGTGCTGCTTCCACCTTCATTATGGGATTCGGAGATAAAACAGAGACGAATGTAGAGTGGTACGGCTAGCAGAATATTGGCATTCACTTAGCAAGGATTAGTATTATTATTGTGGCGGATGGCGACTGGACCTTTCTGCCTGATTGGTCAGGGCCTGTGGTCCCTCTGCAGGTGGAGCTCAGGGCTGGGGTGACGGCGGAAGGGCAGACAGAGTGCCAGAAAGACCCTTTACCCTCTGCCCCTCTCTGCTGTTTATTCCTGCGACTGGTCAGAGGAAAGGTCTCCCTATGTGCATGGGGAGCAAGAAAAACAGATCGGCCACAGAGAGAAGAGGGGCGTGAGGTCGCGCCATACACCTGACGCGCCCACAGCTGGGTGCCCTGCTCGCCTGGACTTTCCACCCAGCCCTTTGGTCCTTAGAAGCCTCTACTTCTAAGCAGGACCAGCAGGGGGGCCACCAGCTCCGTCAGGTGTCTTCCCCACCCCAGACTGACTGACAGAGACTCTCAAGAAACCTGGCCTGATGCCCACGCCTCAGTCTCGGCCCTAATGATCTGCAGTCATGTTATACCCCCAACTCTGTGGACCGGGGGACAGAGTAATGTTAGTACAGTTAGAAAGGAACACATCTTTTATTACAGAGCTTGGAGGGGTGGAACATTCTGGATCTACCTTCCCCACTCTTGAAGTTCCCACAGTTAGGAGAAGAGAACTTCTAGAACTGTAAACCCGAGGACCCTGCATACTGGCCCCAGGTTCTAGAATTCTGAAGCTCAAGTCACACCATAGAATCGGAATATCACCATGCAAAGTTCTCATGCCAGGATCCTCAAAGGAAAGCAAAATCTACAGAATGCCTTCCTCCCAGCAAGAAGGGAGGGGGTGACTGATTATTTGGTTATAGAAACAGGACTTTCGTGGTTTGATGAAACGCTGTGCATTTACTGTGCGTCACAGGCAGGAAAAATATTACCTGTGCTGCAAACGACCAACTTCAAAGCCGGGTGGCTGAATCATGGAACATCTCCAGAGTCATTAGAGAAGTGAACAAACAGCACATACATCTCCTGGCTGCCCGTGAGCAAGAGGAAACCATTCCTGGCTGCCAGTCTGGAAGGGGCAGGGCAGCTGGGGGTGCATCAGGTTCCTGCATTTTCCGGAAAACCTCTGACCCTCTCTCCGCTTATTACCTCAAGTCCAGAGCCCATGCTACCGGCACCCAACACTCTGCAGCCTGGCCAATGGAAGAACTTGAAAGAAGGTGAAGAGCTGACCAACAGTGGCCCCTCGTGGGGCCGGGGCGTGTACGAAGGAGGAAAGCAGACCTTTCGTCTTTAAACAAAAGAAAAAGGGAGCTTGCTTTTCGCTGAGACAGCGTGCGCCGAGGCGTTTCCAAGTCGGGGTCTGACTGACGGAGACTTCCCATGCAGCTCCTCGCGCAGACCCTGCCTGCCCGGAGCAGTGTCCCCGTGAGCGAGAGCAGAGTCTGCATCTCAGCCGTTGAGTCTCAGGGTGTTACTAGCAACCCCATGAGCTAGCGGCTTAGAGCAGGAGGAAAGCAGAGGGAAACGTGCAATGGTATAAAGGGGACTGAGTGTGCGCCAGCCACTTGCATTTTTCGTGAAACTGCAAATAGTAATTAAAAAAACAAAACAAAACAAACACAAAACCAACCAGTATACTCTGACTGAGAGTCTGGACCCAGGCAGTGACTCTGGGATGCCCAGAGCAGGCTGGGAGGTGGGGTACCTGGGCCTGGCCCCGAGCACCGCAGCCTCTTCCCAGACCCTGTGCTCACCTAAACCCCAAGAACCCAAAGCAACTCTCGGCCCCTTTCTTTCTTTTACTTGGATCAAGGATGCCCTTCTAACGCCCCTGCCCCTCTCAGCCCCCCTGCTTGGCCCCCCCAGCCTCCTGTGGCTTGTGACTCAGCAGCAAAAGTCACAAGTTCCCCAGGACTGCCCCTCGGACTCGCTTTCTGGAGCAGCCTTCAGAAGAGGCATGCGGATCCATCTGCCCCCCTGCCTCTCACTCCTCGACCTTCTCCCTCCCTCAGCCTGGCGCCCAGGTGGGCACCTGTCATTCCAGACTACAGGGTGTCTCTCCGGAGTCAGAAGGCCAGCACCTCCAGGCATCAGGATGCACTACACCCATGTCTGTGCCGCGCCCAGCATTTCTGCCCTGGGCAGGCAGGCAGGGTAGTAGCCACCATCGGGGGGAACGGGACAGGTGTGTTCTCACCTTACATCAACCCCTTTAGTGTTTGAGGGCTCAGGACCAGCACTAAGGGCCCTGCTGGGGATGTATCATTGGAGGAAGGATGGGATGGAGCTGGAAGGCAGCAGGGGAGATGCCCTGACTTGCAGAAAATTGCGCACCTGGTAGGCATGGGGAGTTGGTGTAGGAGGTGAGGGCACCAGGAACCAAAGTCTGATAATACCTGCTGGCTCTACTCTTGAGATTTTTCAGGAGGGAGAATCAAACCCTCCAACCTCCGTGACTGTACTGCCCTCTAAAAAGTTCTTCTTTCTGTCTAACCTGAGTCCCTTCTGCTGTAGTAATCAGCCCATCGATTGAACATTGCCAAGGGGAGGGAGAGGGGGGAGAGAGAGAGAGAGAGAGAGAGAGCGAGCCACTACGACAGCACACAGGGCTGAGGGGGTCCCGCCTCAGACTGGACAGACCCCTCGCCCATGCAAGGCTCCCCCTAGGCCCGCTGCCCTCCTCTCCTCTGTTCCCAGAGGCCAGTTTCCTAATCGAGGACCTCCCTAGACCTCTGACCTTTAACCTCACGTGAAGGCAGGCCCTGGAACCTGCGGCCTCCGGGGAGCCTGTCCCACCTGTACCCTCTCCCGGAACCGCCGCTTCAGTCTCGGGGCTCTGGTCCGAGGAACGGCGCATGGAGACGAAACTCTCGCCTCTCGCGGCCCCTTCCCCTAGTTCCCGCGCCGGCGGGGCGCAGCCGCCGGGCCACCTCCGCGCACCCCGAGGCCCAGCGCCGTGGGGTCAGGATGGTGGACCGGGAAGGCCGGCGTCTGCAGAGCGCCGGGAGCCCCGGCGCCTCGGTCCCTGCAGGACCTCCCCGCCCCCACTCCGCATTCTCTCGAGGCCTCGCGCTGCACCCTCCCGCCCCCGCCCCCCGGCGGAAGCGCGACCCGGGACTCCCTCCCGCCCGGGACCCTCCAGACGTCGGGATACGGACAAAGAAGCTCGGCGGCCGCGGGCGAGCGTGGCCGCGCCGCTCCGCTGTGGCAGGTGAATGCCCGGGCCCGCCGGCCGCCTGGCTGCCCACCCTCCCGCGGCTCCCGCCGCCAGGGCGCGACACGCCATCCCCGCTGTCGCGACTCCGGGGAGACGCCGCAGCCGCGCGCCGGGCCCCGGCCCCGCGGGGCTCGAGCTCCGGACTCACCGGCTCCGGCGAGCTCGACTCGGTTCGGGCTCCCGCCTGGGCTCGGCGGCCGCCCGGGGCTGCGTCGGGCGCAGGGTCCGTGCCGCTCGGGCAGGAGGAGCCCGCTTGGCAAAGTCGGCGAGAGGCACTGGCTGGGTCGCGCACCGGCCCCGAGTCCGAGTGAGTCAGAGAGCGACCGAGAGAGCGAGTTATAGGGGCGGGGGCGGGGGGCGGACGCTGCGCCACCCTCCCCCGCCCGCCGCCCCCCGCCCCCCAGCGGAGGCGCAGGGAGCCGCTCGCAGTCGGAGGCTCCCGGACACAAAGACCGCGTGCCAGCCGCAGCCCCAAGTTTCTCCCCGAGAGACCCGGGGAGCTCGCGCCGCGTTCCCCGCGAGAACAAACAGACGGACAGACCGGCGGACGGGCCCCGGGACCGCGGCATCCCCGAGGAGACAAGTGATTTCCTCAGCTGGGATGTCCCAGGTTTCCTGCTCGCGGCTCAGCCCCCTTCCCTGGCGGATCGCCCGCAGGGAAACTGAGGCCCCGAGGGCCGCCGCACCCCGGGTGCCCAGCGCTCCGCGGGGTCCCCGCAGGGCGCGGGGGGATTCTCTCCTTCGGGTCCCCTCGCGTCCCTCCGTTGGCCCTGCGGGCCACGGGCCAGGGCGCTGGCCGCGGCTTATTGCGAATCCAGAATCCTGAGCCCGAGTCCTCTCCGAGGTTCCGGGACTCCCGGGGCCAGAGTATTGGCGGTGGGGCATGGGGGCAATCACGGCAACACTCCCGGTAAAGAGGGGGCCTCGGGTTGCGCGTTACCTGCGTCGGCCGCGCTCGGGTGTCGCTCTGGGGGCTGTAGCTCGAAGCTCCGACAAGTCTCCACGTCCAGCCCGAGAGGGGGCGGCCGGGCCCGGCACAGCGAGGCCAGGGCAGCGAGCGCCGCCTGGCACCGAGGCCCGCCGGCCCCCGCCACCCCGTTCATGCCCCGGACACCTTGGCCCTCCGCGCAGCCGCCCGAACCCGCGCCGCGGCCAGACTGGGGCGGGCAAGGCGGCCCCAGGAGACCCTCCCCGCAGCGGCCCCCTGCGGCTCCGCCGGGCTTTTAATCGCTTCCCCACAGGGTCCCCGCCCCTCACGTGGCATCCCGCGGCAGCTGGCGAGTCTGGCGCCTCGCGGCCGCCCCCTCTCCACGCGGGGCCCGGTCTGAGCGCCGGCGGGCTCGAGGAGCTGGAGCCCGGTTGTCCCGCGCCCAGAGGGTGCGGGGCCCTGGGCAGGGCCTGGGATCTGGCTCCGCAGTCGCTGCCCGATGTGACCTTGGGCCTCTCTGGGCCTCGATTTCCCCCTCTGTAAGGGGGCGTAGTGACTGCGAGTGCTTCACGGGCTGCCTGGGGATGCGAAGCCAGTGTTTGAGACAACACTGGGTAAACTGCCACATGCCACACAAGTGGCAGCGAAATAGATACTCGCATCCCAGAGAGAAGGACGGCCGGCTGGGGGTGGGAGGACCTCGGCCGAGCTTTCCGACGGGAGAAGTTACTCAGATTTGCCCCAAGTGCCAGCGTCGCAGGCGGGAGACCCTCCGACTGTGGGGCAATGCGAACTGCAAAAAGTCTTTCCGAGCCCCGCGATCCTGCGGTCCGCCGTATCCGCAGGTTGCTATGGCGACGGGAGGCAGCGGCCGTCTCTCTCCATGGCAACTGGAGGGGAAAGTTTCTGGTGAATAGGAATAGAGGGCATTTCCTGAGGGCGCTCGGTTCCCACCAGACCCATCTCCCTGTGTCCGCACAACACCTGGGAGATAACGTATATTGCAACTAAGCGTAGTTGCAATTCAGTGTAGCGAGGGCCAGGAAAGCAAAACTCAACAGCGGGAGGATGGAGGCTAGACATACAGCAGAGCGCCAGGCCAGGCCCTGTGGCGCGGGGTCCAGGAGCAGGGTGGCCCAGGAGCTCCGAGGAGCCCGTCTCGGTCCCGGAGACCTGCGGCGGGGACGAGGGGGTAGGGGGCGCGCGTCCTCCTCTCTTCTGCGGGTGGACCCCTTCCTACGTGGGGCTCACCCGAGCTCCAGGCTGGGATCGCTTTGCCTTCCCGGAGCAGGGCGAAGGAAACTTTAGCTGGAGCCTCCGGAAGCCGTGGGGCTGGTGTGTACTCGGGTGGCGGGTGGGGAGGAAGGACTTTCCTCCTAATTAACGCACTAATTGCGAGTGGCTCGGGTGGTGACTCACGTTCCAGCGGGAGGAGGCTCGGAGCCCCAGCTCCTGCTGGCCTCCCCCAGGCGCCATCTGCGCCTGCCGCGCCAGCGCACCCTGGGCTTGAGAACCTCGGGCCGCGCGTGCTCCGGGGCCAAAGGGCCTAGGGAGGCCTGGAGGAGGACCCTGAACTAACCCGACGTTTGTCCAGTCAGGACGCACTCTCTGGCTCTGTCCACGGTGCTGAAGGACCAGCCGCTGCCACCGTCACGTGGAAACAGACTTAGGGAAGGGGTGGCGTGGGCAATTCCGGCCAGTTCGCAGCTTTTGCCCTGACCTTTGCAGTGGGGAGGGCTGGGGACGCAGGTAGGAGCGTGATCCGGGCGACACGATGCAATCCAGACCGCCTTCCTGCGGGAGTGTTTAGTTACTATTCCAAAAAGAGGTGAGGCTCTGGAGTCCTCATTCGCCTCCCACCTGACCCCACCTGAGGAGCCCAGAGGTCCCGTCCCGCTGCCTTCCACCAACGAACACGAAGCTCAGCACCGGTGAAGCAGGAGCTCCGAAGCCCCTTGTCACCAGCTCATTAGCAGTTTCTGAGGAGGCAGGTTGGTGTTGATGTAAAATACAAATGCGGAAGCAGCTCTCTGCCCATGTTTATGGCACCTCTGCCACTCCTCCCCCTCTCGAGTTCCCCGGGAAATTTGGAGAACAAAGCGCCTTGCTTTGCCTTTGCAGGGAATGAACACACACACACACACACACACACACACACACACACACACAGGATTCCAAGGGCCCAGACCTGTGATGCAGAGAAATCAATATTTTTCTTAACAACAGGGGTGGGGGGTGGGGGATGTTGAATTTACATCTAAACTGAAGGCAAAGAAGCCTGTCTGGAGCAGAGCAGGTGGCAGGAGCTGAGAATTAACAGATAATTTCTCATTGTTCCCGGATTCAACCTCCACGCCTGGCAGGCAGTTCTGCAGCGTCTCTGGCGCCCAGTAGCAGCTCAGGACCTGGTGTTTCTCAGTGAAATGGGGAGAAGGAGGCTCTGCTTGGACAGGGCAGCAGAAAGGGGCCAGGGCTCCTGGGTCAGCCAACAACCACAGACTTCAGAGTGCACGTGAGTGAGCATGTGGGGCAGAGACAGAGGAAGACACAGAGACAGAGACAGGGAAAGAGACGGAGAGGCAGAGATGAGAGAGAGAGAGAGGGACCGACACACATAGAAAGGGATACTCATTGAGAAAGAGAGGCAGAAGAGAAACTTTTTTTCTTACATTAAGACAAAGCGTCACCTTAGTCGTCTGCACCATGTGCACTCCCCCAGGTCAACTGCTGACATCTGTAGTCACATCACCAGCCACAAAGCAGGAAAAAATCCTTATGTAAAGATGGGAACTCTTTCTCTGTACACCCCCCTTCTCCCACAAGTCCACTCTTAAAACATGCCTACGTGACTTCCCATATGAAGAAACCAAAGTCAGGCTTGTAGGGTCCTACCCAGACCCAGGGAGGGAAGGAGAAGACAGAAGTGCAACTGTTGTCCCTCAATGCTGTGTCTCAGAGAAAGGCCATTCTGAGTTTCAGCGCAGGGGTGAGGAGAGAGGAGGAGCAGAGACGGCCTGGCAGAGTGGCAAACGGGGGCACTGGGCAGGGCACCCGCAGGCTGGGCTCCGGGGCTGGTGCACCAAGCCAGCCACGCGACAGTCGCATCCCATGTCAGGGCATCCATTTCCGTATCTGCAAGATGATGAGTTTGAATGAGGAGCTCTTTAAGGTTCCTTCCAGCAGCAAAACTCTAGGATTTTACATGAGGGGGAGAAGGAAGGAGGTGGACAACCGAAGAGCGGTGTGTGCTGGCTCCGAAGATCTGAAGAAGAGGGTGGTGCCACGGGGGCCCAGGCTCGCTCTGGGCTTCCCTGCTTCCACTGCCCTTATCCCATCTGCTGCCCTGGCTGGAGACCCTGAGTCTGGGGTCCGCCCCCCCATCCCCACCAGCCAGACTGCTCAGAAGCAGAGAGGGGACTTGGACGTGACATGCAAGGCAACATGAGAGGGGGTTTGAAGCAGAAACCAGCGCCCACCCACTCCTTTGCCCTCTCCCTTGGAAAAGCCAAAATGTACGCTCTCTGCCCCCCCAACCCCCACCTCCATCCAAGTCTCTTAGGCAGTGGCCTGATCGCCTTTGGACAGGCTCCCACCCTGCTCTGAGCAGCCATGTCCTGATGAGTTATGCTGCGAATAAAATAAATGAAAACAAAATAATAATTACTTTAAAAAATGTCAACCTCGGTAGGAAACTGCTAATGCTGTAGGCGGAAAGAATGAGCTCCTTTGACATGAGCCGATGTGTCATATTGTCTTTACATGTCAATGCAATTTCTAAATAAGGAGCCCTTTCCCCATTCCCTCCTCCGGAGATGGAAAGGGAACAGTCTGACGTTCATGGCTCGATTGTCTGACGGCAGGGACAGGCAGAGAAGTAGACACAAGTGGGCTCCCTGCTTTGCCGCACAAGAGGGCTCTAACCCAACCCTGAGGGCCCCTGTCTCCCTGCCCCCTGCACCCCCCTCCCCGCGCCCGTCTCCTGCTTACTGAGCCTCGCGGCCACATTCTGCAAAGGTTTTAAATTTACTCTAAGGAAACAGACATCAGTGGAACCTGTCCTACTGCCAGGGGAGAATTAAGGTGATGCCCTACACTGGGCAGTGGGGGTAACTTTATGCCATTATTTGGAACAGACTCTGCTATGGAATCTCTGTGGGGTTTCAGCCAGAGTAGCTTTAGTAGAATTTCCAGTAGAGGCCCCTCTCTGCCCCCCTCCCCTTCCCCACACCGACATAGCAACTCTAGCCAAAGCTGGGTGACTAATGCAAACTCTGTCATTCCAAGGCACATCAGCATTTTCAGGAATTCCTTCTTGCTGGAAAGATGCAGACGTCAATGACCAGTCTTGCTTTCATTCTAGGAAAGGTGCTCAGCAATTCTCAACGCGTAAGCCAGGGGTATAGTTGCCCTTGCCCATTCCTTCCTCGACTCATAGGTTTCACTTCTGCTCTGTGCTCTCTGCTCAAGCAGACAGTGTTGCAGAGCGGGCCTGGGCCGACCGACAGGGTTTGAGCTTCCAGCGGTCTGGGGACTGGGGAAGCTCATACAGCTTCAAGGGCCGAAGGTGACATCATCCCTGAAACAGCTTCAGAGCTGGACCTGACCGTGGTGGGCCAGGGTTCTCTCTGTCATTTAAGAAGCAAGAATGATATTGGAGGGGAAGGGCTGGGAAGGAAGCCAAGGGCACGCCTCTTCACACTGACGTTGTGTAGAAGAAAGAGCTCAGATTCTGGAGTCAAACAGACCTGTGTTCAAGTCCTGGCTCTATCACTTACCAACTGTATCTCTTTAGCTTTCCAAACCTCAGCTTCCCCATCTGTAAAATGAGTCACATAAGGCCTGATTTATGGTATACAAGGATTATATGAGTTAGGTTAACTGCCTAATATACTGTGACTGATTTGTGGCAGGTGTTGGAACAAGTGGGAGGTCCTATCCTCTTCCTTTCATCTCTCAGATCATAGGGGGACTTCCAGCAGGCACACTGTCCCGAGGTTAACCCTTGCTCTTCCGTCGGGCAAGTCCCTAAAGATTGCCGAGTGGAAATTTGTCTCCTTTAATCCTCTAGCAAACCCAAGAGGCAGCATGGTGGGTGTTTTAGTCCATTTGGCAAATGAGGAAATTAAGTGACTGGCCCTGGGTCACACAAGCTGGGAGGTGGCAGAGAATCGGAAT